TAAATAAGAAATCTAGCGGCATCCCAAAAGCCTTGTAAAAGTCAGATATTACCTCTCAGTTGGACTAAAGTGTTTTATAGCTAAATATTTTAGTTAAATATTTTCCATCTCTTTACAGTCGTCATTCCCCATTTGGGCACCCAGACAATGCAGACGACCTCTGAAATGGCACTGACAGCTGCGAATAATATACTAAATGCACTGGAGGGTAAGCCGATGGTTTGTCCCGCATACTAAATGCTTTTAAATATAATATAATTATGTACATATGCCTGTGTGTATATACTTATTCGCATTTATCGTTGTTATATATTTTAAATAAAAATTGAAGAAAGTTATGTAAACAAGTAAGAAGGGGCTAAGTTCGGGTGTGACTGGACATTTTATATTTTTGAAACTTTGAAGAGTCAAAGCTGGAGGAATATCTTTAGCAGTTGGCAAAAATTTATTTTAAACGAAACCGTGAATGAATAATAAACAAATTTGGTGTCTTCTTGACTTATTTTAAAGGGCGTAGACTGAATTAGTGTTATAGCTTACAGTCGATGAAAATTATGTTAAAATCCATTAATATCCTTAAAGAAGAAATATGTGTTATAAATTCAACCGAAGTTCCTACATTTGGTATTATGAGTTCATGTGAAAACGTCAACCAGATAATCGGTATTCATTATATAATATCATATTAGAAATGTAAGGGTTAGACCAAGGTCTAGACAACTCTATACCTATTTAGCGCTAAGCTATTAGTATAATTTTATAATTTTGAAGAAAACTAGTCCACATAAGTTTAAGAAAATATCATGCGTTTTGGCTAACCTAAACAGTTTAAAGACAGGTCGAAAGCTCGTAATCATTATATAGGGTGCAATGGGGGCAGTAAAGGTCTAGGCTGATCTCACTTACCTTTGACATTGTTCAGGTGTGCTCGAGAACATAGTTTTGTGCAATTTTATAAATAAATAACTCACTCAATTGTCGGCTTATTCGACATAAGATTGGTTAGAATAAAGAAAATTATTATACATATGTAGTATAGGCGTAATTCGTAGAGTAATTTAATATATTTTAGAGATTAAACTATAACATAGCTAATATTCAGTTAATTTTGATAATATCTTATGTCAATATTGGCCGCTATATATGGAAGGAATATCGAAGTCAGCAGAAAGATTGATAATCTTACATTAGCAATTTTTACAATTTATTAAGAGAAAAAGATGCTCTCATAGTTTAATTAAGGTGCTTCACATATCATCAACAATATTTACAAAATAAAGTCAATCGATTCATTCCAAATGCCGATATTAGTTATACGAGCTAGAACAAGCTTTCTTTCGATTTTATCCATTTTATGTACATTTTTGGCATACAGACGGTGGTTTATCTGTATATAAAAGAATTTCTATTAATTTCAATTATGTATCTCAGACATTGACCTATATTTTCGATAAAAAATCAGCCATAAGCTCCGGTATTAATATTTCTGGTATCTCTAGGCTTGAATAGTTATGCTCCGATTTTGAAAATGTTTAAGGTTTGAGATATGATTTGTGTACTGGAAAGTGTAAGAATTAGATGGGATTTAAAGTTTTGCTATATGGGAAGCAGGTAGCAGTTCCGAAGTTGTGAGCGGTGCCATGCCCAACGTCTAATTTTGTTACCCCGGAGTTAAAATAATTGTCTCTGACGCACTAAGTTATAGATTTACCGCGCATTTAGTAGATCAAACCCGTTAGTATGAGGAATGGGCGCGGTTATTATCTCATTTCATTCATTTTCACACTGTCGGAGAAAATAACTAAAGCGTCTATCAATAATACAGATCTTCTTATGGTCTTGGTAAGTAACTACCTTACGTTTAAAGTTCAATCTCCTAGTTTTCCACTACTACTTTATATTCTCGCATTAGTGAAGGCCAAACTATATTCTGTTGTCTAACGGTTCTTTGAAGTATAATGACTTTTGTGATTACGAGAAAAGCCTATATGTGTGTTCTAAAAGGTTCTATTAGCTAACTATTTGTATTTTTCATGCCTTCGCACCATATCAAGAATGAGGCATAATATTTACGTGAATGGTATAGCCACTAAAAGTAAGGCCGGTAAAATTATGGAATAAATTTCATGCGATCTGTGAAATTTTCTTTCGAAATTTTTAACTTAGTTAAATACGCATGCTACTGATAAAAAGGAAATTCATTCTTTATTCTATTAACTTAAAAGTTAATTAACAAATACATATGTATTTTATTGAAAAAACTAAATACTTTACGACAAGTGAAATTTTCACGAACAGTTAATTTAAAAACAATCTATATAAATAACAAGTAAGGAAGGGCTAAGTTCGGGTGTCACCGAACATTTTATACTCTCGGATGATAAAGTGATAATCGAGATTTCAGGCGTGGTTGTGAACCGATTTCACCCATATTTAGTACATGTCATCAGGGTATTAAGAAAATATTATATACCGAATGTCATTGAAATCGGTTGAGTACTTCCTGAGATATGGTTTTTGGTCCATAAGTGGGCGACGCCACGCCCATTTTCAATTTAAAAAAAAAAACTGGATGCAGCTTCCTTCTGACATTGCCTCCGTAAAATTTAGTGTTTCTGACGTTTTTTGTTAGTCGGTTAACGCACTTTTAGTGATTTTCAACATAACCTTTGTATGGGAGGTGGGCGTGTTTATTATCTGATTTCTTCCATTTTTGAAATGTATATGGAAATGTCTAAAAGAAACGACTCTATACAGTTTGGTTGACATGGCTATAGTAGTTTTCAAGATTTGTACAAAAAAGTTAGTAGGGAGCGGGGCCACCCCCACTTTTCCAAAAAAATTACGTCCAAATATGCCCCTCCCTAATGCGATCCCTTGTGCCAAATTTCATTTTAATATCTTTATTTATGGCTTAGTTATGACACTTTATAAGTTTTCGGTTTCCGCCATTTTGCGGGCGTTGCAGTGGGCCGATTTTGCCCATCTTCGAACTTAACCTTCATATGGAGCCGAGAAATACGTGTACCAAGTTTCATCATGATATCTCAATTTTTATTCAAGTTACAGCTTGCACGGACGGACGGACAGACAGACGGACAGACAGACATCCGGATTTCAACTGTACTCGTCACCCTGATCATTTTGGTATATATAACCCTATATCTGACTCTTTTAGTTTTAGGMCTTACAAACAACCGTTATGTGAACAAAACTATAATACTCTCTTTAGCAACTTTGTTGCGAGAGTATAAAAATACCGAGGTTGTTGATTTAAATTGGAAGATTCAAAGTCAAATTCCGGGAGACTTGCGCTCATACAAATCGATCGAACATCTCGATGATAAAGACGACGCCGTGAAGTTTGGAAGTGCTATGTTTTTCACACGGTCAGATATAGTACGTGGCGTGCTCACGAGTTTGAAAACTACTTTTCTGTATACCGACTAAGAAACATTGAAAAAAAGATAAATTCAACTTTCTTTTCATTTCAAAACACATAATTTGCAGGGTCAGCTAGTTTTTAAATAAAAATTACCTCAAATTCTCATTGAGAAAATTAAAGTTAAAATTCAACACCTACTTTTGAAAAATATACACGGTCATAATCCACCTAACGTGATCTTGCTCAAAGGTTTTCGTCGTGTTTATACATATGTATATGTAGTATGCAAAGGGATACGTCACTGGTCAATGCGACAAAAGCATTTTTGCTGATTTAGAAATCTGCCAGTAGAAGTGACAACCAAGATTTGCAAAAGTGGTAAAATTTATTCGCACTTATGAGTAGTTATCAGCATAGGTACTTATGTACATATGTATGTCATCGTTTTTTATCTTAAATGTGCCTGGCCTTTCCATTGCGTTTAAATTAGTTGATTTGCCACTGTGACTTTAGTATTACGCTGGACGCGGTGTCACTCGGTTGGATTGGAATTGTTTTACTTCAAAAAAATAAATGTGAGTTTTCAGCAAAGTCTAGGGAAGTGTTTTGTTTCAATTATTATGTTTGTGGAATAACGAGGTATAAAAATAATTTCAACTTTATGATTTTACAATATCAATATCGTGCTCTGAAATGCATGTGATCTACGAACGCTTATACTCAGCGCCCCGCTCTTTTATTTTGCGAACAGAAAATACTCTCTGTTGGTGTTTGTCAATATTTTGCACTGCAAAAAATACAAAATTGTAGTAAAGCTTTTTGGTCGGTTATGCTAGCAATCTGAGGGTCGTTTTCTCAATTTGAGTTAAGTTTTGGTTAAGTTGTCTAGAACTTAATTGACTTAACTCACAGATGGCTGCTACCCAGACGATGAAAATGGCTCAAAAATAACTTCGATATCTTACGGTTCGGTTAAATCGTAAATCGTTCTTCATAAATACAGTGTGATCCAAAAATACCATCCCTGCTTTGGGCGATCAATTCACGCAAAACTGTTTTTATTTTGCTTTTTTTCGTAAATGAACAAATATTTAATTGCTATCACTGGCGCATGCAATTCGGTCCGTATTTTGATCTTATATACAGTCAAGTCCTGCCATCATATAATAAAGGTTTCTAGGCCTTTTCTAACCAAATATCCTAAAGGTAAAGGCATGGTATTTAAAATGAGTAGCACATTTGTGAAGAGCGGGTCTGGTCTATTATGGGGAAACTAGAAACATATCTTACAAGAAAGAAAGAGGAAGAAATCACGTAGCATCTAAAAGTGATGCCAAAGCTGTTGTTTTGTTTTTTGAGAAGACACCACGGTTCAGTCTAAGAGAAGGTAAACAAATTTTGCTTAAAAAGGGATTAGATAAATCTCTAAATACAATAAGACACAGACTTCAGAGATCAATCAAACACAGCAGTACTTTGAACTAATCCTCACTTTCAAACATCAACAGTGGTTTATTTTTTAACATTACATTTTGCCTTAATATATTCCTTCGATAGCTTATCACCCAAGACTAATCGAACCTCCGCTTAAGACTACAAGAAATGCGAGTTTACAATGCCCGGACAAAGTGAAAAACTGAAAATTTTAGTCACACATCCAGAAATTACACAGGTTGTTATTGACTTATTGTCGCATAAATATGAGGTAATCCTTTGCCAAAGTGTGCCGCCAACACGTTCGGAGATTCTGGAGAAGTGCAAGGGTGTGCACGCCGTATTATGGGCATCGAACCTTAAGCTCGATAAAGAAATAATTGATGCCATAGGCCCACAGCTAAAAGCGATCTCCACTAAATCTACGGGCATAGATTTTGTGGACGTGGAAGAGTTTAGGCGACGTAAGATACCGCTCGGTCACGTACCTCATGTTCAAAACGATGCAGTAGCAAATATGGCGGTTGGTTTATTGTTGGCAGCAGCGCGTCGTTTCCACGAAGGACGTCTGAAGATCGAGAAGTAAGCTTCAGCAGTAACACAAACATATTTACCTAATTATATACATATCTTTATTACAGCAACAATTGGGAGACATACACTCTAAACTTATACACATCTAGATGTGTATAAGAGACAGTGCTTGCTCAGAGTGATTTCGTTATCATTGCTGCACCCTTGACTAAGGAGACCGCTGGTGTTTTCAATGCCACTGCTTTTGGCAAAATGAAGAAGACTGCCGTGCTGGTCAATATTGCACGTGGAGGTAAGACGTGGTGTTATGCTTAGACGTTCGTGTGCTAATTCAAGTAAATATTTTTAGGTATTGTAAATCAGCAAGATTTGTATGAAGCCTTGAAAACAAATCAGATATTCGCTGCCGGTCTGGATGTGATGACACCAGAGCCACTGCCACAGAATGATCCWCTCCTGACTCTGCCTAATGTTGGTGAGTTCTTTAGGCCTCATATCAAACAGTTTTATATCTTCTTATTTAATCATTAACGTTGTTTAGTAATTCTTTCTAAGAAGCATTAGTCTCTTTCTAACTTATTTGTGACGAAGTGTGCTACCGAAATGTGAAAAATGTTTTGTACTCTTAATTAAATGTGATCCTCGCTTCTCTTCTTTTAGTGGTTATGCCTCATACAGGTTCGGCAATTAAGCGGACACGGGACGATATGTCAATTCTTGCGGCCCAAAATATTTTACACGGACTTGCAGGTGAAGCAATGCCGGCACCCGCTTATTAAATATTGAAGTATTAAATTAAGCCTGAGATTTTAATAAAACCAAATCCGTGTCACAGCATTACGTTTGTTCGTACTTCCTTTCACGTTATTCTTCTTCTTAATAGGCGCAGACACCACTTACGCGATTATAGCCGAGTTAACAACTAGAGAGTCCAAAAAGGGTTTCTCTCATCAGAGGCTTATTGTTCCTCTTCATTGGTATGATTTTTTACGTGGCGTGTCCCAAAACCTGCGCACAACCCTGCGGAGAAAATGTTTCGAGTTCTCACTTTAGCTCGCCTTCAAACGGATGTTTTTAGGCTACCCAGAGGATATTTGGTCAAAGACCGGAAGTCGTGAGCTGCTGGATTCATATTTTAAAGAATCGATTCTGGCCCCTCCGAAGTGTAGGACGCTCAGAGAACTTTTCTCACTTGCGTGAACTTCTACAGATGACCCCATCCTCCACGTTAAAGGTAGAAATTAGTAAGATTAGTAGTATGTAGCGACAGCGTTGAGTTTTTTACAATTCTTACTTTCTGAACTGAGAGAGCTACGCAGAAACATAACATAAAGATGATCAATATATATGGTGATAGACATGCGGCAATTAAAATAATAATATCGCATCACATCACGTCAGAGAATATTATCGGAGGTAGGGAGACAGTAGATGGAGTAGTAGTCCAGGCTACAAAGGAATTCCGCAAAACAAAATAGCCGATGATATATATTGTATCGAAGGTAGGGAGATAGAGTAGTAGTCCAGGCTACAAATTAATTCAAAACAAAATAGCCGATGATATTGCCATTGTATTGTATTGTATCGAATACAATACCATTTCCAAAAAGGCTGACATATAGATAGATGCAATAGCCCTACAGAAAAGAACACAAGCTTCATACTTACACAGTCTCGAAAGGATTGCAGGACAGTTGTTGGCCTAATGACTAATTTACATCACATTCTCCCAGGATGGACAGAAGTCACGACGATACCGGCAGAAAATACAGAGACACAAATGTTTAAGGAGTTGTTGTTTTGTTAAATATTTATGTTTCGAAAGCTCTGCGTGTCGCCAGCTGATTTAACAGCACTGATAACATTTAACAGTGAGTGAAACTTTCAAAGCTTATCAAACTAATGCTGGCATTGTCAACCTTAATTGCCTTTTTATAAAAGAACTGTTGCATGAGTAAAGCGTTTTCACATGTCCCTCTTTAAAGTTCTCTTTGCAGTACAGATCTCATAAAGTTTTTGAGGGGACCAGGAGGTGCCCGGCTCTGTGGTGGGCTTTTTCGGCTTTCGCGGTTTAGGTCAAGCTATTAAGAAGCGTTTGCAGGGTTGGGAGGAATCGTATACCACATACGTTACGAACGTGGGTTTGTTCAAAAAGTATCGCGATTTTTGAATTTCTCAGGAGTGGTAAAAACTGCATCGAAGAAGGAGCTAAACAAGGTCACAAAAAATTGTTGTTTTGAGTGCTTTCAGGATTGGAAAACCCGCTGCTAGTTAGCCAGCTCCGTGAAATACGGTAGCTGCGGCACCATTAATGTATTGTTTTTGGTCAAATATTCGGGCACAAGCAACGATGCGTAACAGGGGTGTTGTCATGGGACAAAAGGCATTTTTGGGTTTTCCACAAGTCCAATTGCAACCTGCATAGTATTCCTTTGTGATCGTATGGCCGTTTTGGCAAAAAATTAGGAAGCGCGACGCCCTTGCAATCTATGAAAACTGTTAGGAAAGGTCTTCGACCTTTACTGGGATGAATGAGCTTTAATTTCCACTTCATAACCATTACTCCTTGTTTCGTCACCGGTTACTACCTTCTGGACAATCTTTATCGAACTGAGTAAAACATCTCCTGAGCAATATCAACGCGACGCTGTTTTTGTTCTAAAGTGAGCAATTTCCGCACAACACAAGCTTTTCCCCAAACCATCGGTCAAAATAGAATGGCACGAGCCAATCGATATGTTTAGTTTCTCAGTAATTTTTCTAATGGTGATTCGACGATTGGCCATTACTATTTTCTTCACTTCAATAAGGTTTTCGTCTTTTCTTGACATAATCGGGCGTCGCTATTCGTCGTTCACATCTTCTCGACCCTGTTGAAACATTTTGTACTAATAATACGAGTAGTTGCTTTTGTCCAAGGTAGCTTAAGAGTCTTTCAATTAATTTTGTTTTTCCCATCCTAATGCAGTTTCCGCATTAGGGATGGCAAGATTAATCAAATGGAAATCATGAATTATTTTTCTTTTTGAAACCCCTATTTAATTGAATCGAATTTTCTGTTCTGATTAATCGAAATATTAAACGATTTTTTTACACTACATACCTTTTGGGACGGGATTCAACTATACCCGACGCACACTGATCAGGCATGCCTTAGAAATGGGTTTTTTGGGAAATGAAATAGAGGATGCTGATGAAACTGAAATTGGAAACATCAAAAGAATCTTAGGAAAATTATTTTCACTTATGGACCCTTCATAAATCATTGGTTCATAGATAAAGGCGAAGTCAGAAAAATTATACATTTACTCAAAACAAGCGACGCTTTTATTTGAATTTGAAGACACTGCCGCATCATAACAGGATCGAAGATTGCTCATCCTAAACTTTGTCTGCTTATCCACAAATATTCGAATTTGATTCGTAAATCTGTACCCGAACGTCTATTTTCTAAAACTGCTGACTATGAATTATTTTATATGCCGTTATGATCAATAAAAAAATTTAAATTATTTCATTAATCTGACACACACCGAAGAATAGCTGAAAATACGAATGACTTTTTCGTGCTTTAATTGTAGGGTTTTGGTGTGGAGGAAGTTTTGTTCTCACAAAACGGTGTCATACAGTCAAAGAAGCAGTCAATTTATTGAAACAAACTTTTTAGTTATCTCGCATCGTGGGCTCCAAGATCGTTCGATTTACGTCCATAGGAATAATTTTTGTGGGGTTATGTGATGTCGGTTGGATACGCAGATATGTCCAAAAGGATTAAATACTCGGAACTGAATAGTCTTGGCGTTTTTGTTGAATATTGATATCATTGGTCTAAATAAAAAACTTGACTGCTCCGTCACTGTTGAAAGTCACAACTTCGCTGGCTAGGTCATGTCATCCGAATGAATGAAAATACTCGAGCTCTGAGAGTAAAGCGGTGCCTACGCCAATATAAAATGATTGTATAACTTTTTACTACGAAACATCATTTCGAAAACTTCTCACTTTCAATCGCTTCAATCAATATCAGTTTCGAATCCTTTGAAATCAATCTACCTTCTAACCGTAAACCGAATAAAACACTGAACAATTGCGTGACAGTTTCAGTGCAAAAAAACCTAATCCAAAATCATGAATGGCATACTAATTGCTGGACATGTACATATACTATATGATTAAGATTGACAGGGCTCTTCACAGCAAGTGGGTGCACCTAAGTTGTCACTACTTCTATTATAAGACACTTAAAGTAGAAACATTGTATTTTCATAGCAGTCTGATTGGAACAAAATTTAAGGTCCCAAAAATGTAAGGTAGTTTTCAACCACTACCTTATATTGTATTTTCGTGAAATTATATTTTTGTTTGTTTAACGATTCTTTGTAGTACAACATAATCACGTGATTACAAAACGAGCTTATATGCTTGTTCCAATAATAAACTAACTATTTTAGCTTTTAATGCCATCGCACATGAATAGTATGGCCACTAAAACACTCCCTCTTTCCATCAGGGCAAGGCTTCTAACGGGGTTTTCAATAGGGACGTTAAAAACATAGACCGATAGAGACAGCAAATGGCGCCGTAGTTTTCCTACTGTTTGACGTGTCTTCAGTAAGGTTTTATATTTCATGAAATTATTAAAATATACTACTCAAATTCGTACCGCTACGTCCAATTTGTGGTCGTCATAATCGTACTGAGGCTCATTTATGGCTGAATGGCTGAATGGCTGAATGGCTGAATGGCTTCGTCAATAAGCAAAATATGCGTTACTGGTCACACTTACTCTATGAATTGCCACTGCATGCCGAAAAAATTACGGTTTTGGTGCGGTTTATAGGCCGGCGGCGTCATTGGGTCGTACGTCTTCCGTGATGATCAAGACCGGGAAGTAATTGGGAATGGGAATCGCTACCGCCTCTAACAACGGAATATTTTTGGCCCGAATTGGATGATATGGACTTGGACAATATGTGCTTTCAAACAGGTTGGAGCAACAAGCCACACAGCGAATGTCACAACTGATTTACTGAAAACCAAGTTTGGTGGAGGTGTTATCTCACGAAATGGCCTAGTCAATTAGACGCTTCGGTCGTGCAATTTGATGCCGTTTCTTGTGGGCCTGCGTCAAGTCTATGCTCTATGCCAACAAGCCAGCGAACGTTCTTGAAACCGTATCGAAAACTACGTTCAGCTCTCTTATTGAAAAACCCGTTATTACATCCGTTTATACTCTCACTGATATCAGAGTTGTCCAAGATTTTTTAGATGTGCCGCTGATTGGCTGTCTTATCTTGCTAATGTTCGAGTGTTAAGGTTAACTGATAAACCTAAAGAACTAAAGGAAAAACTCAACAAAGCACAAAAGCATTGTTTGAGAACTATCATATCATATCACTATCAATAGTTGAGAGCAACGTTTACATAAAACCTCCAACGGTGATTTTTATTTTCAGAAGTGATAAGCAAATCACCTGTTAGCCAACTAATACAGTTTTTTGTCGTGTATATGTATGTAAGGAGATTTGGCAATTGTTACTGCGACACACAAATTACTGGTGATTGAGCGATCAACCGGTAGAAGTGATAACCAATCTGTAGATGCCTCCAATTTGCGGAAGGGATAAAATTTATTAGCACTTATGGGTAGTTATCAGCCTAGGTACTTACCATTTGCATATGTATATCTAATCGTTTTTTTTATCTTAAATGTACCCGGTCTCTCCACAGCGCACAATTAAGTTAGTATATTTGCTACTGTGACTTCAGTATTACGCTGGACGCGTTGTTATCCGGTTGGGTTGGGGACGTTTTTTACGTTTTTACATAATATACTTTTGCTGATTGAGTTATATGCTAGACCACGGATAAAGTATCGAGAACTTAAAATGATATAAAGAGTGTTTAAGATTTCATAACATCAGAATCGTGCTTTGTAATTCATCTGTTCTAATAGTACTTAGAGTACACATCACACTCCACCTTTTATTTTGCTAACAGATAATTCGCTCCCTTGGTGGTTTTTGGTCGGCTGGGTCAGCCTCTAAGGTATCTGAGATATAGAAATAATAATCGCTTAAAGTGAAGCGCGAACTTCATAAATCTTTTAACATTACTTTTTTTTATCCGAATCCAAACCGCGACTACAAGTAGTACGCGTTAGAAATGCCAGAACAAAGTGAAAAACTCAAAGTTTTAGTCACACATCCAGCAACTCCACAGGCTGCTATTGACTTATTGTCGCATAAATATGAGGTAATCCTTTGCCAAAGTGTGCCGCCGATACGTTCGGAGATTCTGGAGAAGTGCAACGGTGTGCATGCTGTATTATGGGCCACGCATCTTCCCCTCGATAAAGGAATACTTGATGCCATAGGACCACAACTCAAAGTGGTATCCACTAGATCTGGGGGCACTGATTTTGTAGACGTAGAAGAGTTTAAGCGACGCAAGATACTGCTCGGTCATACACCCTGTGTTCAAAACGATGCAGTGGCAAATATGGCGGTTGGTTTATTGTTGGCAGCAGCGCGTCGTTTCCACGAAGGACGTCTGAAGATCGAGAAGTAAGCTTCAGCAGTAACACAAAC